CGTTACATTCGTCTCCCACCTGAAACAACACATGTCCGAACTTCGTGCGACACCGACCAGACGATCAACGCAAACAGAACACATTTCAGCAGATCAGTCTGCTACATCTTTTGTGTTTGTCCGACATAACGCAACGAGGAAACCCCTCCAACTCTGTTATGATGGCCCTTTCAAATTTAGCCAATCCTCATGTGTAAGAATTAAGTCCCCTCGGAGGCGACGTTACTCATTGGGAGAAGACGAATTATCTCTAGTCTCTTTTCGTAATCTACGGATGTGAGTGGCTGCCCGCGGGTCATGCTCAATTAGGGCGACGTCTTTCGTGCGTCCTGAGTAGACGTACTCCATGAGTGTTCTGACGTAGGCCCCATAGAGTATCTGGAATTCCATGCGAGTAATACGGGAGGTGTGTCGGATCATCCGTAAAATTCCGAATGCATTTCGGGCAAATTTCTCATGGTGGATGAGAAGGAGAAGTTTGAGGAGACCCAGATGCCCAAATCCTTTTTGACATCCATTCTTATGATGCTTTCTTGTCCTTTCTCACCATGCGCAACAAACGCGTTCGATGAGTCTCCTCCAAACGATACATGGACGCACTTTTCGTCATTCAGAGGAAGGTGCCAGTCCAACGACAACTACTTGGCAGCGTCTACATCCATTTGGAGGGCACTAGCATTGGAACTCCAGGATTTCAAGTCGTCCGCAAAAAATAGACATGGACTCGCGAGAACGTCTGGGAGGTCGTTGACGTAGATCAGAAACAGGAGTGGTCCCAGGGCGGAGCCTTGAGGAACTCCAATGGAGACCGGCGCTGGAGAGGAGTTGTTCGAGCCTATTCTCACTCGGAATGATCTGTCTGATAGGAACGCCTTGATTCAGTGAAGGATTTTTCCTTGAATCCCGTAAGACTCTAGTTTGCGGAGCAGCGGGACGTGTGAGACCCTATCAAATGCTTTTGAGAAGTCGAAAAAATATAGCATCCGATATGAGTCCTTCATCCTTGGCTTGGGTTGAGCTGTCCATAACTACGAGCATGTTTGTCACGCAAGAACGGTTTGGGAGAAATCCGTGTTGAGCTGGAGATATCAGATTGCTGGAAGTAAGGTGATCTAGGATAGCTCGCTTCAGAATGCGTTCCATCACCTTGCACGGCACGCTAGCGAGGCTCATAGGCCTGTAGCTGCTAGGCGATGGTCGGTCACGAATTACGTAGACTGGCGTGACAATCGCATCCTTAAGCAGAGGGAAGGCGGCCTTCGCAAACGACTGACGAAGCACCAGGTGTAGATGGTTTGCCAGTGTGGATCCTTGGATGGACCTCGTCGGGCCCCAATGTACAGAATAAGTTGATCTGGTGCAAGAGTTGACGAATGTCCTCCACCGTGAAGACCAAGACGGTTAGAGGCTGTTCGTAGTTTTTCCTTGACAAGAGTGGATGTGACGAAGAGGCTGGGGCTGAGTATAGACACGCATAGTGTTCTCTGTAAACTTCGTATACCAGCGTTGGGTCATTTGTCGGTTCTCCGT